ACCAGATATAATACACAGGAATCAAATAGACTACATCTGTGGAAGGAGGCGATGGAGAAGGTCAGTATCATGAGTCAAAACAAGGCCAGTTGCTAACTGTAGAAGAGACCATCAATTGCTCATATACAAGTTCAAGTTGAGGCTGAAAAAAATTTAAAAATTTCATGAGAACCAAAATACGACCTTGATTGTATCCCACCTGAATTTAGAGACTATCTGAAGAAAAGATTTGATGCATTGAACACCAAAGATCAGAAGGGTTGGGGATGACATCAAGAATATCATGCATGAAGAAAACAAACGGTCATTTAAAAGAGAGGAAAAGAAGAAAAGACCAAAATGGAAGTCAGAAGAGACTCTGAAACTTGCTCTTAAACAGAGAGTAGCTAAAGTGAATGGAAGGCATGAAATAAAAGAGCTGAATAGATTTCAGAGGATGGCTTGAGAAGACAAAGTAAAGTAGTACAATGAAATGTGTAAAGACTAAAGGGAAGAACTGAATTTCTCAAGCTGAAAGAACTGAAGAAAAAATTCAGGCCTAGAATTGCAGTGTTTAAGGATTCTGTGGGCGAAATACTGAACAGTGTGGAAAGCATCATGAAAAGAAGACGGAAGAAATACAGAGTCAGTGCACCAAAAATATTAAATCAGTGTTCAACCATTTCAGTAAGTAGCATATGATCAAGAACCAGTGGTTTAGAGGGAAGAAGTCCAAGCTGCACTGAAGGAATTGGTGAAAAACAAGACTACAGGAATTGACAGAATACCCATTGAGATGTTTCAACAAATGGATGTAGCACTGAAGGTGCTTACTCATTTATGCCAAGATATTTGGAAGACGACTGCCTGGCCAGCCAAGTGGAAGAGATCCATATTTGTGCCCATTCCAAAGAAAAGTGTTCGAACAGAATGTGGAAATTATCAAACAACATCCATTAATACCATTTACACACAAGTACAATTTTGCTGAAGATAATTAAAAAACAGTTGCAGCAGTATATTGACAGGGACCTTCCAGAAATGCAAGCTGGATTTAGAAAAGGATATGGAATGAGGGATATCATTGCTGATGTCAAATGGATCTTCGCTGAAAGCAAAGAATACCAGAAAGATATTTATCTGTGTTTTATTGACTATGCAATGGCATTTGACTGTGGATCATAACAAATTATGTACAACATTGCAAAAAATGGGAATTCCAGAGCACTTAATTGGGCTCACGAGGAACTTGTCGTAGACCAAGAAGCTGTTGTTTGAACAGAACAGTGGTTTAACACATGGTTTAACATCAGGAAGGGTGTGTGTCCCGGTTGTTTCCTTTCATTATACTCATTCAGTGTGTATGTTAAGCAAATAAATCTGAGAGCCTGGACTATATGAATAAGAATAACATAACAACCTGTGATATGCAGATGACACAACCTTGCCTCGCTTGCTGAAAGTGAAAATGGCTTAAGCCTTTACTAATGAAGATCAAACACTACAGTCTTTGGTATGAATTACACCTCAAAAAAAATAATTCTTCACAACTGAACCAATAAGCAATATCACAATAAATGGAGAAAAGATTGACGTTGTCAAGGATTTCATTTTACTTGGATCCATATCAACACCCATGGAAGCAGCAGTCAAGAAATCACACATCATATTGCATTGAGCAGATCTGCTACAAGAGACCTCTTTAAAGTGTTGAGGAGCAAAGATGTCACTTTGAAGAATAAGGCATGCCTAATCTCTGGTAGCATAGTGGCTAAGACACTTGCCTGCTAACCAGACGGCTGGCGGTTCAAACCCACCAGCCACTCCTCGGAAGGAAGGTTGGGCAATCCTCTTTCGTTGTGATAACTGCCTCGGAAACCCAAGGAGGGGTCGCTATGAGTCGGGGCCGACTCTACGGCAAATAACAAAAAACAAATAACAATCCAAGCCATGATATTTTCAGTAGCTTCATATCTATGTTGTAGCTGGGAAATGAATAAGGAAGACCAAAGAAGAGTTAATGCCTTTGAATTGTGGTGTTGGTGAAAATACAATGGGCTTCCAGAAGAAGGAACAAAGCTATATCCTAGAAGAAGTGCATCTAGAATGCTCCTTAGAAGAAAGAATGGCCAGACTTTGTCTCACCTACTTTGGTCATGTCACAAAGGACCAGTCTCTGGAGAAAGGATATCATGCTTGGTAGAGTGGCAGGTCAGTGAAAAGGGGGAAACCCCAACAAGATGGATTGATCCAGTGGCTGCAATGATGGGTTCAAGCATACCAAGGATTGTGAGGATGTCATATAACTGGGCAGTGTTTCATTCTCTTGTACATGGGGTTGCTATGAGTTGGAACCAACTCGACAGCACCTAACAACAACAGGAAAGAAAATAGCATATGAGATATCATGTTGTTAGACTGGGCAGTTTGGCAGTTTATTGTATGTGAAGATTAATGAATTGTAGAGAGTTTTAAAATGATGTCAAAATTTTACTTTCAGGAAATGGTAGTGACAATAAGAAAGAAGTCACTATATTCTGTTTTTGTGAGAATTAATAAAGAGGCCCTAGATGTGTTGAATTGGAAGTCTAGTCTAGCAGAATGTCCAAGTATATGCATCTGGAAGAGAAGTGGCAAACTCAGAAGTCAGAGTAAAGATAAAAATTTGGGAATTGTCTTTTCACATATTATGGTTGGTTTTGTAGAAATCCCCAGTGGAGAGAAGGGAAGAGGACGAAAGACTAACATTGAGGAACATGTACTTTCCTTAAAAAGGAGGGAGGAGGAGAAGAGTCAGGGAAGTAATAGTTCAAGAACTAAGACAGCTAAATATTCACACGAGAGGAGAGAATTGCAAAACAGAGAAGATATGGTGCAAATGGGGAAAGGACTGCAGGATTGGGTAATTTAGAAGTCACTGCTGATGTGTACAGAGCATGCTCTTCCCATCTTGCATATTATGAGTTTATAAGCAAATAAAAAGTGAATGGTTGGTGAGGGAGTGGAAGTAGTGCATGCAAACAATTCTGTGAACAAATTTTGCAGTGAAAGGAAGAAAGAGGAATAGGGTGATAGTGGTTTCCAAGCAATATATTGTTTTCTTTATAGATGAGGATAATTTTAGTTGAGTAGGGAGAGATGATGCTTAAGGAATCAAGAAGAAAAAGTGAGTGAGTTCTGGAAGGAGACTGGAAGGAAGAGGATTAAGTCCACTGGTGAAAAGCTCTAAAGGAGCTATATCTAATTGAGAGACTAGGGGAAAGGAGCAATGAGAGGGCATTAAGACATTTTCAGTGGGGAAGGAAGACAGAGAGTTTGAGAAGTCATCAGAACTCTCATGAAGGATGAGACAAAGGAATCTGCTGAGAGGAGAAATGGAATTGAGATTAGAGTTTGATGGAAAACGTCTGGGACAGCTACTACAGGGTATTAAGGAGTTCACCAGAGAGGAGTAAAAGTAAAGTTATAGCTGGAGTCAGCTAGTATGGATCTGTTGTGGAGAGTGTGACTATATATCTTTCTCATAGGAAATACTCAACTCATTGGTGACAAGGAAAGTCGATGCAGTATATTGCCCAGGACTGGAAAAATGACAGAAGATCATGGGGACAAGGGATTCTAATGATTTACCAAGTGCTTTATTGAAATAACAACAGGAACTCCTAGATGGGTAAGGATGCAAGTAAAGTCTAAAAAGATTTAAGGCTTTGATGAGGAAATTCAGTAGAGGAAAAAAGGAAGTGTGGAGGGAGTCGGTTTTAAGTGTGTGAGATACTGGAACTGAGGCATTTTAAATGTTGAAAAGAATTGGTTTATGCCAATGGATTACTAAGTGAAATGGAGTTAGAGCCTATTAATTGAGAAGATAAACAGTCTGTGAGGCCAGAGTGTTGGCAGCAAGCAGATTAATTCATTAAGATATTGGTAGGAAATAGAGTGAAGGCAAGGTTATGAACCTCTTGGAGGAAGACTGTGAGGAAGATGAGAGGATTGAGCTTCAGTTGAGTATAGGATAGTTGGTGAGTCATGGTCGAGGAATAATAGTGCAAAAGGGCTGGTAAAATGCAAGGGCGCTCTGATCTCCTTTCTGGCATTTAAAAACCCTAGTCTTAGGTCCTACACTCACTAACTGTAACTTTGGACCAATTGCCTAATCTCACTAAGCTTCAGTTTCTTCATCTCTGAGAACAAGACAAAAACAGTATATACTTTATAGAGTTATTATGAGGATTAAATGAGATAATATATGAAAAGCATATAGCACAGTACCTATCAAAATAAATATAGTAGATACTCTTGCTGCTGTTGCTGCTGCTGGTATTGATGATGATGACATTGAGATGTATAAAGAACATGTAGCTTTTGTTTAAAGTGGCTCTGCTTTGTGAGTGCAGCATGGAACAGGTAATCACTTGTGGCAGTGGTACTCCTGACACCAGGAAATATTAATACTGGTATCCTTTCATATCTCTCACCTTTAATTGTCAGGAGTGATCTACTATACTACATTGAAACTTTTGTGAGGAATTTATATTACTGAAGAAAACAACCCAATAGAATGGGCTAGTGGAGTATACATTTGTACCGCATCAGAATAGATTGTGAGTTTCACAGTTACATTTCTAGAGTTGAAGCTGGCGTGCCAGGGATTTGGACACTAAAGGATTGGGTTTTAATCTGGAAGGCCATGTTAGTTGTATGGAACCAGGCTGATGCTCATGGATGACATACAAATACAGTAACAGAATTCCAAGTGGCAAATGCTACAAGGAAGAAGAGATGACTTCGTGTTTTGTTTTTTTCCTAAGTTATTTTCAAATGTCCTATGGAACCTTAGGTCTAGGAAACCATAGCTTTGAAAATGAGAAGTTACTTCGAGTTCAAAGTAACTTTATCCATTCTCCTAACCCTTGAATTCTCTGTAGGAGTTTGTAAGGTTTAGTCATATGAAAGTAAATCATTGATTTATGAGAATTTGCCTTTTTTCTGTCTTATTAACTCTTCCATGCTATTTTTGACAGGTGAATGGCCTAGACCTTAAGAATCTACTGCACCAGGATGCTGTAGACCTCTTTCGTAATGCAGGCTATGCTGTATCTCTGCGAGTACAGCGTAGGGTAAGTGTCACCTGCACCCAGGAGCCTGGCACCAGGCTTTTGCACCCTGTGGGTGTGATCTTCAGTGGGTTTTTATTTGTTGTTGTTGTTCCTGTTTTTTTCCTTCATTTGAAGAGCTTGTCTGGCGCTGACAGGGGTCTTCTGGTACTTCTCTTATCATTAAAGAAAATTTATAGCAATGTGTTTGCAACCCAGGACCTAGCTTCTAGACAGTGTGCCTCAAAGATAAAGCTTGACAACCAAATTAAAATAGATGGGGGGGAGGGGGATCAGAATCAGTTTTACTTTTTAGTGAGGAAGGAACCTTAATCTCTGCCCTTGAAAACTCCCAGATGACAGATTCCAGTCTATAAGACCCTGACTGCAAAGATGGTGGGCATTCTTACATCTACTTTATGCTGTATTCTATCACCAACACGAACCCTGCCCTTATTAAATTGGTGACCCTCTTGACCAAAGCACTAGTAGTAAAAGGGGATCGCAAGGAAAAAGAAGTAGAATTCAATTAAGGTAGCAAGTATCCCTGCATCTGCTTCGTAGTTCCTGGTATTTTATAATTTGGATGATGGAAAAGGTAGCACAAGTAGACATAATGCATCCCATTGTTGTTAGATGCTGTCAAGTCTTTGGCTCATAACAACCCTGTGTACAGCAGAGCGAAAAGGAAGAGGCAGTCCACTTCTGAAAAAATTAGCCACTGAAAACCTTATGAATAGCAGTGAAAATTCCTCCTATAGCAGCAAGGATTTCTAAGTATATTTACAACACAGACTGAATGCTTCTTTACAGTTGCTCTCTCCCTCTTAAATTGGTGCCCCTAAAGTTACTGGCATGAATTTAACTAGAGTCAGCATTCAGGCTTCAGAGGCTGAAAGAGTTTCAGAGGAGATAGTAAAAAAATGGAGAGGGTAACACATGAAAGATAACTGACAGCCACTGTTACAAGTAGAATCCAGTTGTGATGGATCAGAAAACAGTGATGAGAGACAGTAGAGATAATCACTGCATCTGCCTTGGCTCTTTCCTGTTTCTAAAGCATAGGGGAATTTATGCAATAGATAAAGGCAAATAAATATAGGCATACACTTCAGATATGTTTAGAGCTCATTTTGAAGGTACATGGGTTGTTATTTCCAGTGCTCACTTTTGGAAACATCCACAAACAACCGCTAGTAAAATAGACTGTTCTGGTCAGGGAATTGGCCTAAGACCTAAAAGCCATGTCTTCCTACTGAGCATGTCCTCTCATTTCATAGGAAATGAATGAAAGGTGTGGAAGTCAAACAAAGGAGAGCAAAGGGGAAGACAGGCAAGACCTCATTTTAGGAAGGAATGGGTGCCTTCTGCGACTTGGAAAGCATTTCTAAGTCATGACATTGTACCTGTGTTAATATTGCCCAGATTGACTTTTATTGTATTCTGATGACTGGTAATCTTTTCAAGCAAACATTTTCAGAAAGATGGACCCCCGCCCCAATAATTTACAGGTTGCCTGTGGAATCAATAAGCTTCATCTCAGATCTCTATTTCCTTATATGCCACACATATAGCAAAGCAGAGGCAGTTCATAAACAAAGGTTATCTGACTTGCCCTTAGGAGTCCCTTTAAATCAGTAGCACAGTGCAGTTAAGTGCTTCCTGATAAGATATATTTTCTTTCCAAAGAGTCGGTGACACTGGCACATTAGGTCGGGACAGAGAAAGAGGACTGTTTCTGATAGCTAGTACTTGGGATTTATAGCTTTGGATGGTCTAGAGACTAGACCATGGTGACTAGGGCATTTCATTTATGGTAAACGCACATCGGTCACTAGAGTTAACAGTCTTCTTTCCCTTCCAGTTACAGGTGCAGAATGGACCTGTAGGTCACCGAGGTGAAGGGGAGCCAAGTGGCATTCCCATAGCCATGGTGCTGATGCCAGTGTTTGCCCTCACAGTGGTCGCAGTCTGGACCTTCGTGAGATATCGACAACAACTTCGATAAGCTGACTTTTCTCCGGTGCCCTCTGATGAAGATACATTTCTCTTTTTCACCCTCCTCCCCTGCTATCTTTCCCTCTCTCTGCAAAGACAACACATGATTAAAGTGACTGATACTCACCCAGAACCTTGCTGTTCAAAACCTGCTCCCAATCCTCATATTCCAATGGGAGAGTAAAGGTATTATTTGAAGGAAAGCCAAAGAAAAGACTTGGCTTAGAACAAATGAGGAGCTAAATATATTACTAGGTCTGTCCATGGAAGTTCAGCTACCACCCAAAGAGAGAAAGGTCCAGTCTTCCTATCACCATGAGTGATACCTTTTTTTCTTAGCTGGCGTATCTCAAAGGCCAGCTGTATGAAATGAGAGAAAGAGAGGATCGTTCTTCTTAGCGATCTTCCTTTGGAAGTTTTTGTGGCCTTTGTTTAATTTGTTTCTAACTGCATACCTGGGTGCCTGTATTAGAGAACAGTGGGAACATTTTTTTTTAAATACATTTATACACATACATGATAGTTTAATAGTGATGCCTCATGACAGATTAAAGAGATGAGGCAACTGCTCTGCTTTCTAGGTTTCTTGCCTAAGGAACAATATGAATTGAAGAATTTGAAGACATTTTAGAGCATATATAATGGGAGCGAACCTTTAAAGAGGATGCCTAGTCTGAATCATTTTTTTAAAAAAAAAAAAAGACTGAAGCAAGCAATCCAAATTTTTCTGGAGCAATGTTTCTTTTCATAGTATCTACAGTGAAGTTGAAGTAAATTGGGATAATCCAGCCCTGTGCAAGGCAATCTGTTCAGAAGTTGAGCTATAAAGATAAACCTTACTGATCTCTGGGCTACCCTGCTGATCTTTGTGGTACCTCATAGTCCTGTTAAAGGATCATCTGAGATCATTGTGATCAGAGCTATGGCAGTGTCACCAAACCCATCCAGGGGAAAAATCTCTAAATGGAAAAAAAGATAGTGCCTCCAAGGTGGTCCCTCAACCCTCTAGACTATCAGTCTTTCCAATTTCGAGTAATAGTCAAAACTTGGGAGAAGGGACTCTGGCAGGATGGGCATGAAAGCAGCTATTTCTGGTTTTAGTTAATATGAGAAGGCCTAGATTTCTAGTTGTTTCTTTTTTTCCCCCCTCCTAAAGGCTGGAAACACTGGTTATTCATTTTAATTAATAAACAGTTTTGCAGGGAAGGGGAAGGAGAAAGAGTTTCATTTGTTTTTAGGAATAGGGGAGTTGAGTGGGTGTTTTTTAGAGAAAGCCTGGGAGAGGAGGATGTGGATGAAAGGATACCAGGGTACACCAGGTGTATTAGTAAGTTTGGAACCATCCTGTTCATGTGGCATTTAAAGCTGATCTTAAAGCACTAAAGATAGCTAAACCAAGACTCATTTTATGAATTTAAGAAAATAATTTCCATTCTTCAAGTATACTGGCCCGACTTAGGCCTTGTTCCTAACAGCAGGAATGTGAGGAGTTTTCCTGAGGCAATTAATTGAATCCAATTTTTAGTATGAAGGATCTAGTCATAATTTTACAAATGCTAATTGGGCATCTGCTTTGTTAAGGCACTTTTTACAAAGTAAAATACATGGCCTCCATCTTAAAAATCTTTTTGGTTCCAACTGGGGAGAGAATAATTACACACATAAAAATGGAATTAACCATATAGGCAGTGCAGTGTAAGTTGGTATCACATTTGTACCGCAGACACTAAAAGAAAAGTTGCTGAGAATCGGAGCATTTGAGAAAGTTCCATGGAAGGAGGAGACAAATTAAGGACCCTTAAGGAGTTTGTTGTTGTTGTTGTTATGTGCTGTCGAGTCGGCCCCGACTCATAGCGACCCCTCCTTGGGTTTCCGAGGCAGTATCACTACGGAAGTAGGATTGCCCAACCTTCCTTCCGAGGAGTGGCTGGTGGGTTTGAACCGCCAGCCTTCTGGTTAGCAGTCAAGTGCCTTAGGCACTATGCTATCAGAGCTCCCTTAAGGAGTTTAGCAGTGTAATTTTAAGAATTCATAAATAGGTGAGAAGTTTAAAGTATATCACGAGGTTAAGATACAGTTGGAAACAATAATAAAAGAATGGTGCCATGCAGAACATGATGCAACAACAAAGATGTGCAGAAAACCACCATATTTTTTTAGGAATTCAAAAAAAGAAAGCTGTTATATGATGGAATTGGACTAGAATGGAGAAGGAAGGCTCTTAAAAATAAAAGTCGGCTCTTAAAAATAAAAGTCCCACAGGACTTTACCTATGAGTCAACCATTGGAATAGAGAGAAACTTGTTTTAAACAACCCTGACATAAAGTATGCCTTTAGACGTAAACTATCGAGTAGCTTTGAGGCTCACTTGGATGACTACACTTGTAAGTTCCACAAACAATAACGATAAATAACCCAGCCAGCTCCACTGTGGAGGCACAACCTCGGGTGCCCTCCCTGGATCTCAAGGCATGTGCGGCGGCATCTATAGTGGGCCTGCTCACCTCCCAGAATTCACATCTGGGATTGGGCATTCACTCCTGAGAGGACTTTAAGTCACACAAAATCCCAAAGTGAAACAGATGGCAAGCAGGGAGGAAAGCTGTTTAGTTTTTTGTGTGTTGGTATATGTAAATAAAGCACCTAGTCCATCCCATCTTTGGTAGAAATTTTGCTTCGATAATAGGGATTTTAATGTAGTCATTTTTTTTAGGCAAGTGTTCAATTCCTATTTTTGATTGTACAGAAAGCTAAAAGTATTACAAGAGATGAGGTTTCAGAATCCGTTATTGGTTGTAAAAAAAAAAAAAAAATTCATGCTCTTTATAGATTGTATCTAATATTTCTACCACCTAAATTATTATGTTCAAAGTTTTGAAAGTTGAATGAAGGTATTTTTAAGATCTATACTTTAAAATGTTCTCTATATTTATCATTTTATACTATATATATATATATATATATATCTCATCCTAAAAGGACATTGTTTATTTCAGTCTGTTTCCTCTTGTGCAGTGTTTTAACTTCTTAGCTGTTAGATTAGCTTAATAACATGGCTCAGCTAGCCATGTACAGTGAAAAAGGAAGCTAATATTTTTATTGCTTCCAGTACTAGGGACTCTACTGCACCCTTATTGATACACTATTTGTTTATGCCTCACACCTCTCAGATCTAAGTATTGTTATAAACAGACTACAAAATTAGAGAATAAATAGCTTTCCTAAGATTGTTGTTGTTGTTAGTTGCTGTCAAGTCGGCACCAACTCATAGTGACCCCATGTACAACAGAACAAAACACCGTCCAGTCTTGTGCCATCATAATCCTGTGCTTGAGCCCATTGTTGTAGCCAGTGTGTCAGTCCCTCTCATTGAGGATCTTCCCGTTTCGCTGACCATCCACTCTACTGAGCATGAGGCTGGTCCCTTCTCATAACATGCATGACCAAAGTGGGTGAGACAGGCCATTTTCACTTCTAAGGAGTACTCGTGCTGCCCTTCTAGGACAAATTTGTTGGTTTTTGTGGTAGTCCATGGTATTTTCGGTGTTCTTCGCCACCACCACAATTCAAAGGCATCAATTCCTGAGATTACATAAATAATAGTAATAACTTAGCGTGCCACAACTGTTATTTCTTCTCTGGCAATTGGTTTTCAAAATGAGGTCCTTGGGTGAAAATAAGCTAGGAATTTGTTAAGAATGCATATTCCTGGGCTTTATCCCAGACCTACTGAATGGGAAGCTGGGTGTGGTGCCCAGCAACTGGTGTTTTAATAACCCCTCCAGATGATTGTGATTCATGCTAAAAGTTGAGAACCACTGCTTGATGCCAATAGTTGTCCCCTTTCGTTCACATTAGAATCTCTTGCAGATCTTATAAAAATCCTGATGCCCAGGCTGTACCCCAGATGAAGTAAGTAGGAGTCTTGGTGTGGGATGCAGGCAGCAGTAAAATGAAATTCATGAGGTGATTCCAGTGTGCATCCTAAGTTGAAAACTGCTGTAAGGCGTTTAAACCCAGGCACTTTAAATTATTAAATTACTGACAGGCATTAACTTAGGCCTTTTATGAACCCAGTGCTCTGTGAACTGCTGACCCGAGTATAGATGTGGAGTAAGAAGTAAAGAACACTGTTTGGCTCCTGATTTGCTAAGAACTGACTACCTTCCAGCAAAATGTGTGACTAGTGTGTGGTTCATTTTGTATATCTATTAAATCAGACTGTTGATGCTAAAAGGGAACCAGAAAGATTCTAAGATGAAATCTTAGAGGTGGGAGAATCAAGGGTCAGAAAGGTGAGCTAACATAACCAAGATCAAAGATTTAATCTGTTGCAAAGAAACCCTTTCTGCCTTTATTTATCTTAAGTATATGAATATAAACTGGGAGTTCTGGTGGTGTAGTGCCTAAGGCACTTGACTTCTAACCAGAAAGTGGGCTGTTCAAACCCACCAGCCACTCTTCGGAAGGAAGATTGGGCGTTCTACTTCCGTAGTGATACCACCTTGGAAACCCAAGGAGGGGTTGCTATGAGTCAGAGATGACTCGACAGCACATGACAACAACATATAAAAACTATCTCTTATCTCAATCCTCTACCGTTTTGTCTCTGAGCCTTTGATAAAGAATGGGAGAATGGATTGACAGTGAAGCCAATTGCAGGCATCATGATTGGAAATATGAGGTTCCACAGAATGAGAAAGACCTAATACTGAGTTCAATCCGACGGATTCTTGAACTAATCCCCAAACTTCTAAAGTAGAGAAATATGTTTTTTTTGTGGTGATCATTTTGTTTTATTGTATAAATAAGCAAATAAAGAAATGAAACTGTGTAAGTAACTGTGATCTGTCCAGTATTTGGGGAGTATGAAACATGTAGTTTCATGTTAAGAAATACAGATTTTATTCTAGTCAATTTTAGATGAAATTTATCTTGGGACCGGTGAGAGCTGTACTTCATTCATCAAATAGTTAATGAGTGCCTACTATGTGCTAGGTTCTTCAGAT